ATTACTGCACACCCTTATGCTAGTCATTTGCACCAATAACGCACATGAAGTCTTCTCTCCTTTCCTTTAGAGATAATTTTTTTTATCAGTTATTGCACGTGCCGCCATCTATGCAGGCGTCGCGTGTCGTCCTTACGACTAGAGAATGACTGGCAACTGCAGCTCTGCTTGCAAAAAAAAAAAAAGAAGAAGAAAAAAACGCAGCCAGTCACACTGGCAAATGTGCTTGATTGTTTGTTATTGTGAATATATAATACAAGTAAGTACATAGATAAATATGTGCATGGTCATAAAAGCCGGCGTTTTGGGTCGACTCCCCAAAAGACTTTGGAAAACACTTAACCCTTGTCGAGATTTTATATTCGTGCAATGAGTCATGCACACCCTAAAAGACGGCACATCTATTATGTGCGGTTTGGTGGTGGAGTGGCGGGAGTTCCCCAACTACCAAATCAATGACGCCATCCGCTCATGATTGTAGTCTGTCTATGCTGGGGTGGATTTGTTAATAGTCTACATTTTGTAACTATATACAAATTTATATATATATTTATATATATTTATTCACACAGTGAATTGCATAACTGGGCGTTAGCCTCTTTGTCATTTATTTAGTATATAATGAACTGTTGTGCTTCACCTGGACCGTTGATTTGACCTACGCGTACGGTAGCGTCGCGACGTGGTGAACCGCAAAGCTTTGCATTATTATGAATAAATGATTTTGCATTTGATTATGGTGTAACCTCAGGGGTACTTAAGTTGAAATATTTTGCGGTTAAGCAGCCATTACATACTCGTACATACTGGTTCATTATATACTTACACTATGAATATACATATGGCAGAGAGAGGTGTTGCTTTATTTATTTTTTTATATATATTATATATACATTCTTATATATTATTATATATTATAATACACACATATCTATATATGTACATACAATCAATTTCAGTTTGTGCTCTTTAGCACTTTGATTATCATACAATTTATTATATTTAATAATTGTAAATATTTATTTTTAAATACCGCTTTGTGTTTGGACACTCACATATGTATGCTTGTTTGTGGATATACATGTATATATAAATATTTTCGTTTTTATTTCAGACTTATCAGCGCAAATAGTGATAAATGTTATCATTATATTTGCTTTCACAGGTCGATTTTTGTATTCACGTATGTCTGTAAATGTATAAATATATACCTACAGTATATATGTAAGTGCATACTGCTCATTTAAAATGTAAAATATATATTTTTTAGTTGCCTACTTTTAGGAAAAAGTTGAATTGCTCAGTACGGTTTTTTTTGCACAAGTCAAAACGATAAAAATTGATTTTCTCCGAAAATTGCTTCAAAATCAAAGAACAGTCATCGGAAAAATCGGGCCATAGGAATCGGGTCATATGAATCGGGCTCCCCTTGTTACTATATATGTATGTGTAAGTAAGGATTTTTGTGAGAAAAACCTGCCAAGAATTCATTTACAGAGATCATTTTTCCTTAGAATGACAAAAATATACATACATATATTGAAAAATATAGAATTAAGCTTGTAAAGGGTGTTTTTTTTTTAAGATATGTGGTTTTAAAAAGAAAATAAAACGCATTAAATTATAAGTTGAGCCCAAGAATTTAACTTTATTAGATATAAAGTTAAGGATTTGTTATTATCTTTAGAAATGATTTCGGGCAAGAAATTGTCGCAGCTGGTTTCCATCACCTTCTGCAATTGTGGCCGCATGTCAGCAATAACACAGCGAATATTCCCTTCCAATCGTAGCGGGCTTTCGGCGTTGACAAACGATTTCCTAGCGAATCGCACGATTCATACGCCATAGGCTCACGACGCGAGATAATGCAAAAGTTTCCTTCAACTAATTGATTGTTTCGTTGGCTGTCTTGTTGGAAGCAAATGTCGTCCTCAGCAAAATTCTCCAATTCCAATTTATGCACGAAAAAGTCATTGATTATGGCTCTAAAGCATTCCGTAAAGCATATTACGGCGGAGTTTATTTTTTGAAGAAAAGTGGAGAGAATCAATGAAGCAGCCAATAGAGCACATCAAACAGTGATTTTAATTTAACAAAAATTTCTTGTGAAAATCATGACCTTCTTGTTCTTCTTGCCCGAAAAGGGTTTTGTAAGTTTTCAAACCACGATCCTTTTGCAAAATCTCATGTAATGCCTTGATGTTTTTTTTCCAACAAATGGAGGGACCTACGGCTTATACTAAGCCGCCTCCGAACGGCTGAAAGTTCATTTATGAGGAGCTTTATTTCATGTTAGATATTCACTCGTTGGGGTTGAAATTCACGCAATTAGAAAATTTTAGCTGAAATTTTATTTCAATTAATTTTCTATAACTCTTTTGATTTGAACCCGAGCCTTCCGAATGGCATTACGCAATGCTAACCACTCGGCTACCGCGCAGTCTACTCTGCTGTGCGATTATATCGACCGAATGTTGAGCATTAATTTGAAATGGCAAGACAAATCGTAAAAAGGGAGCAACTTCGAAAAAAGTGATGCCTCTTTATTATATTCTAAACTCAGGCTCATGACCTGAGGCTCATATTCTTACACATTTTGATTTGATGTAAACACATTTATTTATCTTAATTACCACTTGGCTGTCTCAAGAAGTCTAACAGACTTTTCTATAAAACTGGTTGCGGTTGCTTCTTTGCGTGACTCGCATTTCCATCTATTATATAGTTTAGATATGGATTATTTTCAGTATTACCGATGGCCTTTTCATCCACCCATTCTCTCCTGTTGGAAAATAAGTAGGGGGATTGCAGGTGGCAGCAAGCTTTCATTTTTCTGTCGTCCTATACGTTTATCCCGAGTTTTGTTATAGTTTTCTGATTGTCATGTTCTTCACAGTTAGGTGACTGAAGCCAGTTATGGGTGATATGTAAGGTTAAGTATAACTGATTGGCGCGCCAAATATGTCGGAATGCCTCCACCGAAACTTCCTATTTTTATAACCTTGACGTAAGGCTCCACATGAGTTAGTTACCGCTTCTTGCGCAATAGGTCCTTACATTTCTAATGTTCCCATTTTGGAAATTGAGTCCTGCAGTCCTGCAACTTTGAGAGAAGTGCGGCTACTCTCAAGACCTATAACCTCTAAGAATTTATTTAAGTTTGCCAGAGAAATCATAATGTAGCATCTGTTGTTTTTTTTTTCATGAAAAACCTCCGATTTTTGATATGCACGTATGTTTGTATATATATTTAGCTTTACCAAGGGTCCTGAATTGAATCAATAATATTTTTTAATCAATAATATTAAAATGATAATGACGCGTGTATTAATTCACATACATATATTCATATGTATCTACACGTATACATAGTTAACAGTGATAACAATTTTTGAGATAAGAATTAGCAATTAGCGATTTCCAGATTTTTTATATGCATGCCATATTTTTATGTTTATTACGTAAACAATCAATTACGAGTCAAATACCGATAAGACGAAATTTTTATATTGCAATTTTTTGTACTCTCAAATAAATTGTTTATGTTTTTTGACAAAGTAAGATCTGCAGTCCAACTGGATCTTAAATAATTTAAATATTATTTCTAAAATCCATACACTTTTTCTTGTTTGGCGCTGATCCTCTTTACGCGATTGCAGCCGAGTTAACAACAGCGTGCCATCCAATACTTCTTTTAGCCCTTCGGAATCAAATGGAGCCAAGTCCTTGTCCACCTAATCTTTCTAGCGAAGTGGAGATCTTACTATTCACCTGCTTCCACTTTTCAAAGTTGTGGCCGCATTAGACGAATGGTTAAAAGTGCGTACTACCATTCGGATGACCATGGTTCGAGTGCTGCTCCGAACAACAGACAAAATTACAGAAAATACTTCGATCGTCCTCCTAGTGAAATAAAAGCTCATAAAAATCCAAAGAAAATTCGTAGGCGGCTTAGAATGAACTGTAGGTCCCTTTATTTTGTTGGAAAAAACATCAAGCCACATACCACAAACAGGATGAGTAAGTAGTTCGGCCGAAGAGTTCAACGCTCGCAGAACCTTTCTCTCGAAACCTCCTGAGGAAGATGATGAGCTACTCGTAAAGTTTGGTTTCTGTTCACTAATAGCAGACCTTACATTGCAATTGACTACTGAGAGCCGATAGCAGCCAGTTGTTTTGTTATTACCTTGAAAGTATGTCTGTCAACAGTGACGTGGTAGCCGAGCCGCTAAGACTGTTTGTGCCATGACAGGAGATATTTCGTATTGCCTTCGTTTTATTCTGCAATACTTAAGGCGCAGTTATCAATATTATTGGCGTATGCCAGCAGCTATACACTCTTGCAGGAGATTGTGATGGGTCTATTCAGCTCTGCAGCTCGTATTATTTTTTCTAACACTAGTTTAAAGAAGTCCTACGTGAAAGTCTCACCTTGTTTGACACTTCGATTGGTATCGAACGGCTCGGAGAGGTTCTTTAATGGAATACCATATTCAGATCTAAAGCCGCACTGCAAAGTTCCAATCAGTTTGTTGACGTAGAGCTTTAGTCTTTCACACAATAAGCTCGATAGGACCTTATATGTGGATATTGCAAAGGATAAGCCGACGATAACTGTGGGGTGGTTCCAATCGCCGGGTATGCTTTCATACGACCATACTCTGCATGCCATTCAGCAGGCTGGGAAAGTATACCTTCTATAAATTCAGTATGGTTTGGGCATCAGTCCCTAGTTCACCTCTTTGGGGGCATACTTCGATCTAGAAACCTCCTGTAACTCGCCGCATTCTATCATACAATTTCCAAGAGTTTTCTCCATCGGTCAGCTGTTCATACTCATGCATTACAGCCTCTAGCGTTTTATGCCTGCAAATTCATCTCTCTTCCCATATTTACCGCTTTATTATACTAATATCTAATATTATATACAGCTGATTTTTCAAACAAAAATTCTTAATTTTCTGTTTGCTAATTTTACTGTGTTTTTTTTCATATTTCAGATAAATTTCCAACGAGATGGCGACAAGTCCAAAACCCGTCAAAAAGGTGCCCATCCACCTGCAGGTAAGTGCCATCAAGCAGAATTTCTTCGCTCAATGTTTCAACTTTTAAACTTTCAGAGTTCGCAGAACCGCGTCTACATCAAGAACGGACATATTGTTAATCATGATAAGTCATTTAAGGCTGACATTTACATTGAAGATGGCATAATTAAGTATGAATAAATTTACAAATTCTAGCAATTTAACGGGGTTCTTGGTTAATACTTGTGAAATTCCAGATTTGTAGGGCCTGCAACTGACATTAATGTGCCTGGTGGCGTGCGTATTGTGGATGCTGCCAACAAATTGGTGATACCCGGTGGCATTGATCCACACACTCATATGCAGTTGAAATTCGGTGGTTGCGTTGCTGTAGACGATTTCTATCATGGCACCAAAGCGGCTGTCGCTGGCGGCACCACAACAATTAGTGAGTATACTTAAACAAAAACACAAAAAAAAATATTTTAAAATAAAAATAAGAAAAGGAAGAAAAAATAAATATAAAAAAATAAAAAACAAATAAAAAAAGAAAAAAATAAAATAAATTAGAAAATGAAAAAAAAAGATAAAAAACAGATAAAAAAGGCAAAAAATAAAATAAATTAGAGAAGGAAAAAAAATAAACATATAAAAAAACAAAAAAAAAAGAAGGAAAAAAGGAAAATAAATTAGAAAAGGGAAAAAGCAAAAAAATAATAAAAATGAGAAATGCAAAAAAGCAAAAACAAAGTTAAAAATATGAAAATATAGAAATATTTCATTTCTTATGTCTTTTTGTTTTCTCTCTGCTTTTTCCACTTTCTTATCTTTTTTTAATTTTTTATTTTCAATTTCTTTTGGCTTATTTTGCTTTTTTCCTAAAAGATTAAAATTGAAAAAAATAATCAAAGCAATGACGAAACTGTAATTGTACTGTTCAAGTGTAAACAAATTACCAAAAAAAAAAAAAAAATTAAAACAAAAATAACAATAAGAAAAAAAAACAAAAACAAATAAAAAAAAGAAAAGGAAAAAACATAAAAAAAGAAGTATTCCTTTTCTTATTTTTATTTTTCTGTTTTTTTTTCATTCTTTACTTCTTTTAATTTTTTTTGTTTGTTGTTTGTTTTGCCCTTTCTTTTCCTTTACCTTTTTCTTTTACCTTTTCTTATTTTTTGTTATTTGCTTTTTTTTGTTTCTTTTTATGTTTTTTTTTTCGAAAAAATAAAATATATATATAAAAATAAGAAAGGAAAAAACGAAAAAAATAAAAAAGTAAGAATGAAAAAGAGGCAAAACAAATAAATTATTCACCTTTGTCATTTTCAGTCGATTTCGTGCTGCCCGAGAAGGGCGAGTCTCTCGTTGAAGCGTACGATAAGTGGCGCGCTTGGGCTGATCCCAAAGTTTGCTGTGATTATGCTTTCCATGTGGGCATCACTTGGTGGTCGAAATCTGTATCGGAAGAAATGAAGATAATGTGCGAAGAGTTGGGTGTAAATTCGTTTAAAATGTTCATGGCCTACAAGGGTCTATATCAATTGAATGATTCGGAGCTGCTGGAGGCTTTCGAGCGCATACGTTCGTTAAATGCTGTAGCGCAGGTATTGTGTTGTTCTGGGCAATTTTTTTTTTTTTTTTTTTTTTTTTTTTTTTTTTTTTTTTTTTTTTTTTTTTTTTTTTTTTTTTTTTTTTTTTTGTACTGAAGGTCAATTAAATTATGTTTCTATTGCGCAGGTGCATGCCGAGAATGGTGATATTATTGCTAAAAATGTGCAGAAACTATTGTCTGCTGGCGTAACTGGACCGGAGGGTCATGAACTTTCGCGTCAGGAGGAGGTCGAGGCTGAGGCAGTGAATCGCGCCTGCATACTAGCACATCAGGTATGTTAATAAATTATTCATCACTGTTTCATTATGAAAATATTAAAAGTTGAAGTTCAAGTTCAAAATGCTACACTACATGTACAGTTAGGGACGAAAAATGTATAAATATTGCACAAACCATTCGTTGTATCCATTGTAGGCAGATGTACATATATATAGATTTATATATAATATATATAAATACAAAAAAAAAAACATATACATACACGATTATGTTTCGATCGAATATTCTTAATATTTTTTTATGGTTTTATGCTAAAAAACGGTATCATGTAAATATTAAAAATAAATACATATAAATTACATTCGAACTCATGTGACCGCATGCACACAAGTTTATAATACACAACCATAAATTTTCCTCGATTTCTATTAATTTTTTTTGTTTTCTAAAATTTTCCAATTTATCTGTTTCTTTTATAAATTTTCGATTTTTTAAAAATATTCTTGATTATATATTTGAAAACTGTGCTGTTTTTCGGAAGGCCAGTGTGTTCGAGTCTTTCTCCTGTGAATATTCAAAATTTTAGTAAATTTCCGTCGTCCCTCGTCAGGGAATGTCAAGGCTAAGGTGTAAATCTTACATGAAATAATCGCTTCTCATAAATATACTTTAGTCATTTTGAGGCGACTTAGTATAAACTGTAGGTCTCGACATTTCTTGGAAGGAGGAGCTCTGCCAAAAAAGCCTCAGCGGTAGCAAAGTGTTAATTATGTATAATATAATGTATATATATATTGTTCTCCACTCAGATGGCGATAATTTAGATATCGGAATAAGGAGGTGGTTCTATGTTTCATTCATTGACAGACATCGACATAAAAATACCTCAGAATTATCAATGGGTTCCCGGTCATAGGAATATATTCAGCCACAAAAAGCTAATAAGTTGACCAAGTCCGGAATATCTTTTGATCAATCTGAAGCGCAGATAACAACATTGCCGATACTAATAAGTTTTTAGAAACTTGAATGAGGAATTTAAAAAGAATCATTTCAAAATTGTTTCTGAATCTTAACATGCATACAACTTAGTACAATAGCTTCACAAGTTCCTGCAGTTGATGTTGATAAACTTTTATTTTTTCGAAAATGCTAATGAATAAAAATCTTAAATGTGTACATGGTTTTCCAATAACTGGTGGTATTTTGATATTCAAAGAAAAATGTAAATTTTTGAAATAAATGATTGGTTGTTTATTTCACTGTATAGAGAAAGTTATGCCATTAATAATGGAAAACAATATCAGTAAATGAAATTTTTTATAACCAAATCGATGAGTGGCTCCCGTATGCTCTCAAAAACTTCACGAATTCCATCTTTGAGGTCTTGAAACGACCTTGGTCTGTTGGCATAGATCTTGTGTTTTACGTGGAAGAAGTCGAGAGGTGTTAAAACACAAGAACTCCTCGGCCAGTTGTGATCACTTCTTCGAGAGATAACACGGTACGGAATGATTGATTGTTTCGTTGCGTATGACGTGCTACAAAAGCGGGGTCTTGTTTAAAGTAAAAGTCATACAGATGAATACCATTCAATTTTGGCCATAAAAAATCATCAATAGCGCAATCCATTCATTTTTGAAAAATGTAAGATTCAATGAAACAGTTAAACATTGAGTATAGCGTGGCTTTTTAATAATAAATATTTGATTTTCCGAGCGCCAGATGCGACAGTTTTGCTTATTGACACAGCCATCGAGATGGAAATGGAGCTCATCAGTCAAGATGATTTTTCGATGAAAATTTTTGAATGACTTTTAATAATTTCAATGCATTGTGGAAGCGTGTATCGCTCCTTTTTTATAACTAACGTCGTAGTTACTTGTCAATTGTTAAAAAGTTACAGCTTCAAAAGTAACACATACCGAAACGGCCGTTAAAAATAGCACATGTTATTGGAAAACACTTTAGTATCGAAGTGCTTTACTGGGAAATATGAGCTTTTTACCTGGAGCCGATCCACTATGCCTATCATCGCCCCATTGAATGCCCATAGAATATAGTTTTTACTTGCCATCCCCATGCTTGCCTCGAGCTGGAGTATTTAAGTTATTAATCAATTGAACTTTACCAAACTTTACCAAACTGGTTGCTACCCACGTATGCCACTTTCAACTGAGATTAAAGTCTTACTAAAAATATATGTATATACCCCCCATAGAGCAGACCGAACTGTGGAGCTAATATAAATATCAACGAAGTATTTATGTCCTCCTTACTTTGTTTATATGAGTTTTTATTGTAAATATGTATGTATTTATATTGTTTTTATTTTCACATTTTTTTCTGATTGTTTTTTCTTTAATTTCACTTTATTTTTTATTTACTTACATACAATGTACATATACACACACATACATTTGTATACAATACAAACTATTGCACCGTTTCCGACCCTCCCTACCTTACCACCTCACCACAAACCACACACACACCGCAACGCCTAGGTCGATTGTCCTTTGTACGTAGTGCATGTAATGAGTAAATCGGCGGGTATCGAGTTGGCACGCGCACGAAGACGTTACAAGAATCGTGGCATCTATGGCGAAACTTTGGCGGCGGCTCTGGGTAGCGATGGCACAAATTATTATCACCAATGTTTTCAACATGCAGCGGCACATGTGCTTAGTCCACCGTTGCGACCCGATCCGACCACACCCGCCTTTATGATGAACCTGTTGGCGAAGTAAGTCCATATATGTATAACAGCATGTCGTACATACATATTTGAAGGCTGCGTGTAAACGAGGTTAATTACGAGAATATTTAAATATATATAGGTGCATATGTGTTGTGTAACCGCAAATACTAACGACTGTGGGGAGATTCAAAATTGCATTGTAAACTTTTTGGGTGTTGGGTGTTTTCTTAACAGCGCCACAAACTAATTTCATCATATACTCGTATAATATAAACGCATGCTTTGTAATTTAAAACATTTTTCTTCTATTTGCATACATATACATATGTATATATATTTATATATGTATAAATCACAATTGCGATTACGCTTAATCAACACTAATTATGTATATTTAAGTTAATTCATCTTCACCTAAATTAATCATAGTATCGTAGCGTTTCGTATCGTATGTATGTATGTAGGTACGTATGTTTGTTCGTAAAATTGTTACTAAACATTTTTGTTTGTTTCGTTCTATTCTCATTTCACGCTCTTAAAAAATAACCATGCTTCCATATACATATATGTATGTATGTACACTATTAACACATCAATATACATATATACATATACATACACGTGTATGTACATCCCAAATGCGATCGACATACAAATGATGAATTTCGTTGGATGTTGAACAAATTAGATGAAGACACCACTCTATGTGACGCGCATCACTTCGAAATCATCGGCGGAGATTATTGGCCGTGCTCGCCGCAGCGGCTACGTTGTATTCGGTGAGACATTGGCCAGCTCGATTGGACGCTCTATGAACGGTGTGCGTCAGCAGGAGCGTTTATATTATATTACAAGTCCACCGATTCGCGAATCGGCCGAAACGCCAAGGCAATTGATGAAGTCGCTGGCGTAGTAAGTACATATATATATATATATACATACATATATAGTCGTTCATAGTACATATTTCATCGTAAACATGAAACATTCACTAAATGGTGTCATTATGTGGATTGGGTCTTAGTTTGGGTTCATATTACAACAGCTGTACGTATGTATGTAACTTCCATTAACTCCTTCGTAAAGGTAACATTGTTATTAAATAATTATAAATTATTTTGTAATAACACTTCGTATGGTGAAAATCCCAGTTGTAAATCTAAGAATCTGCAATCTTATTCAACTATTTATCCACATTTAGAAAGCTTTGATGATTAAATCTTCTCTCTTGGTCAATAGCACAATATAGCAGATAAGCGACTTGTCATAACCACATAAAAAAACAGTTTAGGAATGTTAAATCACACGATTTTGTAGGCCATTCCACAGGCCCACGATGCGAGATATTGCGCTCACCAAAGGTTTCCGTCGATACATTGATTGTTTCGTTCGTGGTTGGAACCAAAGGTCGTCCACCTCAAAATCCACCAATTCAAGTACGAAAAAGTCATAAATCATGACTCTTCAGCGTTCCCTATTGACTATAGGGTTATGTCCGGCTTCATGTTTGATTCCCTCTGCCCATAGAGAACACCAATAAGTGACGTTTTGAGAATGTAATGGTGTCTCAACAACGGCTTGTGGGTTATCATTACTACAAAAGCGACAATTTTGTTTATTAACGTACGCATTCTTCAACTCAAAGTGAGCTTCATCGCTGCACAAAACTTTCTTGTGAAAATCGGAATCGGTAGCCAACTAGTTTTGGGCTCATTCATCGTACCTGCGAGGCGCTGGCTGGTCGTTCGGCTTCATTTCTTACATGAGTTGGATTTTGTAAGATCGCAAACCAAGATCCTTCTGCAAAATCTTCCATAAGTGCATGGGCATATGTGGGCTGGAATTTATTATATTTTTAGAATTTTCAAGAAGACGAAAATGTTGTAATACAGAAATACTTAAATAAACGACTAGTTATTTTTCACCGATTTTGCCTCTAATTGGAAAACCATTTCACTCATAGAGCTTCCGAGCTGGCTTTGCAGTAGTAGTAGTGGCTCTGCCTGTCGCAAAAATTTTTCCTCACATTTACGAGTACGAAATTTCAATTTCGTGCTTAATGTCATGAATCGTCTCTAGATGGCTGGCGTGGCACTTAACACCAACGGGTACCAACAAAAAAATAGTGCATCCGTGTAGAGTAGCTGCGCATTGCACTGTAACAATCGGTATGAAGAGTGCCGGCAATTCCTTCGTCTTTTTCGTAGAAAAACAAACCATTGCTCTACGGTCCGATTGCTATACCAACCAGTCAAACGTGGAGGATGCCATTGGTTTTTCCATAGTTATGTGTTGTTTTATTCTGAAAGTTAGAGTTCGACTCCTGATTCGACCAACATCCAAAATTATGAAAAAAAAAATAATTTTTCTACTTGCGGTCGTCCCTGAGCAGGGGATTTCAAGCGCTCCACGTATTTTTCTCACATTAAATAAAGGCTGCTCGGTTCTAGATAAGACGCACAGTCCAAATTGAGGCAGGAGCACGGACTCAGCGGTTATATAGCTGAATATGACTTGCTTGCCAATATAGACATCGAGGCGATATATAAGTTTAACGGGTTTCAAACCACTGAGAGAAAGGAAATTGCTTAGGATGGTCATAAATTCTTAGATTAAACAAAATACTACGCCAAAGAAGTGCGCGAAATATTTAATTCCTCCTAGCAGTTTTAGCTGTTCGGGTACACTTTGAGCTACAACAACAATATTTAAAACTGAACGACTGAACGATTACGTAAGCGAGTCGAGTTTGCAGAATAACCAAGCGTTTGGCGAAGTCACTGCATTTATCCACATACTGTCCGGAAGGCGAGTTATTTTTTTTAAATTTCCTTGCAATTGCAGTTGAAGACTCATCAGAAATAATTTATCAATATTCAACAATTTTCCTTCAAGCTTCTGAAGTGATTTTCTTCAGAGATCCCTCTCAAATTTGTGTTTTGTTTTATGGCTTGATATTTTCTTAACCATCGACAGTCTATACTAATTCGCCCCAGAATGACCGATGGATTCTTATGAGTAGGTTTGCATTTGATGTCTCAAATACACTCACAGTGGTAGGTATTCCTTGTGAGGTACGCTTAGTTTTTAATCACTGCCTTTCAGCAGGTGGAGAAGTGCTCTCTGCATAAACTCAGCGTTTCTGGACGTCGGTTTTGCCTACATGAAGTTTAAGTTGAAAGTGATAGATTTTGACTAAGTTTGCGGTGACACTAACGTGACCTAATTGCTCTTCGGCCACCTGATGATCTATTAAAAAAACTCGAACTGCTGAAATGAAACAGAATATTTGGGCAATACGTAACCTTCGCTTTCCGCTTAAGTAAATAATAATACTTAACACAACAGTAGTTACCCCCCTACTTTTTCTAAACTGATTATTAATACTCGCTTGATGTAACCCTTATGTGCGATCTAATAAAACCTGAAACCACTTTCTAATAAAAAGTGAAATTGTACAATTCTGCAAAGTTTCTCATCATTTCTCCCTTTCTCACTTTAAATAGCGACGATCTGCAGACAACCGGCAGTGACAATTGCACCTTCAACAAGGAACACAAGGAGCTGGGCAAATCAGATTTCACCAAGATACCGAACGGTGTGAATGGCGTTGAAGATCGCATGTCCATCGTATGGGAGAAGGGTGTGCATGCCGGCTTGCTCGATCCATGCCGCTTTGTCGCCGTCACCAGTACCAATGCCGCCAAAATATTTAATTTGTTTCCGCAAAAGGGACGCATTGCGGTCGGTTCCGATGCTGATATTGTCATTTGGAATCCGAATGCAACACGCACCATCTCCAAAGAGACGCATCATCATGCTTGCGATTTTAACATATTCGAGGGTATGGTATGCCATGGTGTGCCCGAAATGGTATTGGTACGTGGACGTATTTGTGTTGAAGATGGCACTGTACGCGTAGCTGAGGGTTATGGACGTTTCGTTAATACACCAACACGTCCACCATATCTCTATGATGTATTGGAGGGTAAGGTGCAAGCCAATGAAGAGCATAATGGTGAGGAGCATGATGAACACTTGAATGGTGGCTTAAAGAAATTGGACTTGGGCGCTTTGGAGATCGAAATACCATACCAAGAGCCGATTTCACGTACTTTATTGTCCATGCCGGGTGGCGGCGGTTCGGTAGCTAGTACACCATCGGGTCGTGGACGTGTCGAGGGTACACGTAATATGCAAGAATCAACGTTTTCCGTTAGCGGTAAGTGAAGTCTTATAGCAAAATGTTTTGTGTAAATAATAATTCTCTTTGTTTATGTTTTCTATGACATTTGCAGAGGAGCTGGACAAATCGGGCAATCGTTCGTGTATTCGTGTCAGAAATCCACCAGGTGGTAAATCCTCTGGTTTCTGGTAAATCGACGCAACCGCACACACACACACACATTCATTCATTCATTCGCTCAGTCATTACACAACAACAACAACAACAACAACAACAAATCGCACAACACGATCTTTACATGCAACAGTACGTGCATGAAGATCTATATGAAATGTCTGTAAGATGTAAAATGTAGTTGCACGGGCACTTATGTATGTATGTAAGTGAGTACACTGGTCAACTGTCGAAAAATCCAAAATTAAAAAGAAGGAAAAGAAAAAACAAACGAAAATCAAACGGATGGAAGAACAAGCTACTAAACCAAAACTTTGTACTGCGAGCAAAACATTAACGAATAGTAAATGAAGATTATTATATAATAAAAATAATAATTATTTAAATTTATTTATATATACACAACAGTTGAGTTCATACCTTCATACACATATACATATATGTATAAATATGAATATGTATCATATGTACCACTACATGTACTTGTGCAAGTACATATACATATAACCGCAAAGAAGTAAATTAAATAGTAAATCTAATATTAATATTAATTGTAATATCTGCTTTTTGTGCAATCACATACATACATACACGTATGTATCTATATACAATATGTGTTAGCTTAAATGAAATATTATTTTTTTGTTTATTTTACATTATACATATGTACATTTAAATACCTGTTTTAATAAGTATAATATATTTATATCTTTTTTTTTTGTACCTACACCATTTACATACATGCGTACATACATATATTATTGTACTGGAATTTATGTAAAACCAACTTTGTTCGCCTTTGTCACGCCTTAATTCATTGCACACTTGAACTCCAGGGCTTTGGACTCCCTACACGTTTCCCTAAGTGACTTAAAAAACCACAAAATCAAAACTTTTGCTTACTTTTAACACAAACGCACATCCACACCAACACTCACATACATACACTCTTACCAAAAATAGAAAGAAGAAAACGATTTTTTGTAGATCGTTAATTTTTGACAAATTAGATTAAATTTGTAAGACAATTTCTACCTAATTTTTATTCATATTGAAATAATAATAATTATAATAATAAAAATATAAATTAACATTTAATAAAACATCATCGTTGTATGCTAAAAAAAAATGTTGTCTTTATTTGTGGCTTACATTTGCGCAAAGTTTTCTTCTCCTTCACCATAGCAAAGCCGAGTCAGTGGTAGCGGCGCCAGTCGTTCCCTCTCTTCGCTAATTTACACCAAGTAAAAACAGCTCGCGCTATAGCTCGTTATCCACTCAATGCTATCAAAGATGTAGAGGTCTTCTTCTTCCTGCGCTTCCATCATCGAGTACTAGCACAGAATATACTTTCATACCTGGAGTGGCTTTATGTCAATATCATCATATGTCTCGTAAAGCTCATCGTCTGTGGTACTGGTGCTGTTGTTGTTATAGCGGTTCGTCAACCCTCTTGAGAGCAAACGAAAATAACCAAAGTCATCGAAGTCATCTAACGAGAGGTCTCAGAGCAGGCGAAAGAAGCATAAGTTATCGAGGTCATCCAATGGGAAGTCCAGGAAACGAGTTGTTTCGATGGGCTCGCACCAGAGGGATGAGTAGGTTTTAGGCTAAATACAAAGCGGTAGTAGTGTTGTGCGTGGTTTCATTGTATGCCGAAAATATATTGGGTATATCGACATCAATTCTGTTTAGGTTTATGTAAGAATTAAGTCAACTACGATATCCAGTATCTTAATTGTGTCAGTATAAACTCATGTCTTTCGAGGCAGATCGAGATCTTCGTCTGCAATACTTGGCGCTTGGATACCGATCACGCAATTCATTGGTAGGGAGTTCATGGAGATGTTGACGAACTTCAGGTGAAGAAGTGTTTAAAGTCTCTGAGTACGCCGTCTTTCTTGTCTATGCTGCTGAATAATCTGTTTAGTATAATAAGCCTTTCCTGATATGCCTAGGTGTAAGTAAAGCCTCAGATAAATACCTATTGGGATAGTCCCGTTGGGTACAGCCTAACATTCTGCTCCTTAATTCAAAGCATATATGTTTCACTGTGTACGTGAAGCTGCGTTGATATCATGAGGTTTCCTGTCAAGGTCCTGTGGATTTTATTTGTGGCCCTGTAGGAGTTCAGACTGCCGTATGAGACTACCAATAACTTCGACATTCCAATCGATTTCCAGCCGATACCTCTTCATCCAGCAGATGCTAAGTGTAGCCGAGGATTTCGCGGGTTGTAACTGCAGAGTTCGTGCATTGTCGTACGTTCGTCAAGATAGCATTTTACTTTCCAAAAGCTAGTGTTTGGGTATTAATAACGTTGTTAACAGTGTTTATGTATGCTGCCATGGAGTCTCATGTACTTTCTTTTTCATGTACCCGAGAGGCAGCTCTCTTTCAAACGGTAGAGGACTACATCACTAAATCGTATTGAGAAACATGAAAGCCTCCCATCGGTCCACTGGTCCTCTTCTGATGAGGAGCTTGAGGAAAACTAGGCTCAACAGATGCAAGCGACTTCTTTAGTGGCGTGCGGTCAATTGCCATAAAGCATCCTTCTCACAGATGAGAAATTTATTACTAAGCGAAACGACAAAATCTACGCAAAAACTTCCGAAAGCGCAAACAATTTTATTCCCAGGCCTCAACGTGGTCATCCTATTTAGCTATCTGATCGGTAGTCTCCTGTAAAGGCGTTACGCCTCTTCATTACTGGGCAAAAGTATACCAGCTGGATGTCTTAGAAGCAGTAGAGTAAATGTGATGCACAACCGATCCATGGTTGCTCGGAATACCAACAATGCAGGGCGATTATGTCGGCCGAACATTGGACGCTGCAGGTGAAGAATCGCGCGTACCGAATAATTATTTTTGTGATAAATTTGCACGATTTGCTTACATTGTTCCGCGTAAATCTGTTTGATGTACATCAATTTCTTCAAAGATCAAGTTCTGGTCTTAACTCTGTCAAAAAGTCATCATCATAAAATCATCGGAATTGGAGAGCTTTATATTTTCAGATATGAGAGTGAATATTTAGTCGTAAAATGAAAATCCATAAATTTGAAATATTCACGAAAGGTCTTTTTAATTGCTCTGAACAGAGAATACCGAGCTCTCCGAGTGTATTTCTGTCATGTCACGAAAGGCTCCGCACAAAAATCCATAAATCAAACGCAGCGGATTAAAATGAACTGTAGGTCCCTCGATTTTTTTTTTAAATCAAGACCCACATCCCAATTTGGTAGAGGAGCTTGGCTGAAAATCGATAAAAAAGCAACAAATAGAAATTGTAGCCTTCCTTAGCTACATGCAGTCCGGCTTCAAGCATGCTTTGGACATTTCACCCTCTAACTAAGTCAGTTACCAAGGCAACCGGTGTGTGCAAACCATAACACCAGCTGAAAATTTTCTAAGGCAAGTCAGTCAGACTGCTGCCACTGACTGAAAGAAGTAGGAAAGAAGAGATTATTCTCTATTAATTATAAAATTGCCTGATAATCAAAATAAAATACATAAAATGCTGCATCAAGGTATCATTTTAAGAGAGGGACATATAACGCGGACCATTTACAATCTGGTAAACATTTAAGTCTGGCAGACAATTAGTTCACAAAGTTCCATAATTTATTTAATTCTCAATTGCTGCGCATATTTGTGGCCCAGATAAAGGACAAACGCTACGATGATGTGATTGAATGTATGGTGAGTATCGGTGAGGCTGCCAATACCCGGGCTGGTCTATCAACACTGGGCTATTGCTACTATCACGCCCAAAAGTACGAAGAGGCAGCAACTTGTTATGAGCAACTGTGCACGCTGGTGCCCAAGGAGGCCAAATACAAGTAGGTAACAGTAATAAAGTGTTGCAGTAAATTTAAATTAGTACTCCGTAGCATTAACCGCTAATCTTAGGTTTTACTACGCGCAATCCCTCTACCAAGCGGGCATTTTCGGCGACGCAATGCGTGCATTGAAACAAATCAGCGAACATGAAGGACTCCGCGAGTCGTGCCTACAGCTACAGAGCGCCATACTGTACTCGAGTGAAGACTTTGCGGGCGCCCAAAGCGTACTGAACCAACGTGCCGCTGGCAATGCGGAAACACTCAACGACGAAGGCTGCCTACTCTTTCATGCCGATCAATATGAGAAGGCTGCGCAACGCTTCTCCAATGCCTTGAAGGTGGGCGGTTTTAATCCGCTAGTGGCATACAATTTAGCATTGTCGCATTTCCACAAAAAGGAGAAAACCCAAGCAGTTGAATACACAAGTAAGCGCAGTGCAGTGCAGTGCAGTGCAGCGTCGCCGATGACAACACTAACAGCGGAAATTACTTTAATTGCTTGTTTATTTTTTACTTTCTTCCATTCTTCACCTCTGCACCACCTGCTTTGTCAACGCGTGCAATTCAATTATGTTAAGCGGAAATTGTGGAGCGCGGCATACGCAATCATCCAGAGTTGGGCATTGGCGCACAAATCGACACCGACGGCAGTGCCCGGAGTGTGGGAAATCCAATAACGATGGCCATGTCGGGAATAACGCAGGCGTTGAATTTGAAAGCCGCCATTGAGTATCAAGATGGCAATAGTGCGTAACAATCGGTCAAGTGTAATCGCAGTGGAGTTTTATTTATTCTCTTTCTTTTTCTAACGCTCAGTGGATGCTGCACACGATTCGTTGTTGGATTTGCCGCCACGTTCGGAAAGTGAATTGGATCCGGTTACATTGCATAATATGGCATTGACAGATCCCAAAGGTGCTGTTGCCGGCTTGCGTAAATTGGCTTTCCTCTTACAGCTGGGCCCGCCAGCTTGTCCCAAGGAGACTTTTGCAAATATTTTGCTGATTTGTTGTAAGCATGAGATGTACGAAATGGCAGCCGATATATTGGCTGAGCACACTGATCTCACTTATAAATATTTGTCGCAGGTAAGTTTGATATCTTACATATACATATACACATACATACATACATGTTTATATATGTATCCATTGCAAAATTGGAGGCTAATTCCTTCAGTAAATACACGGTCAAAAAAATTTGGACTTGGGCGAAGAACCTGCCAGGGGCATGCATAAGTCTACTTAACATCGCGTATGAGTTCAAATCAGTTGTATTGTACATCCTCAATGAACTGTTCGAACCTTTTCAAAGTGGGCTTCGATCTGATAGATCCGCCAATAGACCAAATGTTCATCACCCGTGCATCAACTCCTAAAGCTATCGACGACTTCGTCAATTTTAAAATTGTAGTTGTCGAGTACGAAAAGCAGCCCTTACAACGCTCTGTCTGAATTTAATAACCCCGCAAAACTTTAGCTTGGCGCTGAATGACATCATACGCTGTGTCAGAATTGAGAAGGACCTCTCGTAGACGCTCGGTGCTAAACGTCGTTTCAAACAAACTTCTTTCATTTTAATGTTGAAGGAAGTAAGACGAGCTGCTAAATTAAATATTCATAGAAGAAACTTCTTTAAGAGCTTACGACATAGCTGAGAGTATGGTATGAGAGACATAAAATCTCCTCATATAAAACATATAGTCCGGGCAGTCGCCTTTAATCTACCACCTAGCTGTTGACAGTCATAACTTTGAAGTTGTAGGCAATTTAATCTATCTTAGAGCCAGTATCAACCCTAAGAGACGCTACTTGGTACTAAGTAGGCCATGAGCAAAATTCCTCTCGCGACAAACAAGAACCAAATTCTACAAGTCGCTCATCATTCTCATCCTACTTTATGGTGGAGAGCGTGGACGATTGGCAGCCAATCGCAACCAAGTTTTGGGCCACCGTCAAATAGTTGTATAGTTTGACGACACGTGATGGACGGGTTGGAATTTTATTCGATGATCACGCCGCGTAGGACACGATGAAGTGCGCGAACTGTTCTACACCCTCCAGTTGACAAAATGAAGCGATAAGTGGCCCGCCGTCTACGAATATTGCCACACCAGCTCTGCGCATGATTGCTCAAGGGACCAGGTTCAGGGGTTTATCGGGAAATCACACTAAATTTGTCTTTGGCCACTGTGACCATGTGAAAACTATGTTAAAGAATGACACCGCCACTAAACCCGGAGAAACCTGCCAAGAAGGGACACTGATGTCACCACCTAAGCCCCAGAAAAGTGTACGGGATCTGTCAAAAGCCTTTGACACCGGCAAACATTCAGTACTATTAAAGGATATCGGGGAATATTCAATACAGCCGTAGTAGAAGCGCGTGATCGACAGTCATCGATAAAGTTTCGAGGTTAAACATAAAAATTCCGTAAAGGACGGTATCATGTTCCCGGTTTTGTTCAATTTCTTACATTTCGAAGCTCCCTCCATGACCGAAGGGTATTTCTTTCCGCTCCGAACGACCGACTACGGCTCGACATTGTCATGTGGTCAGGATATCGATATTGTCTGATCGAGAGTAAACTGATATCTTGTCGTCTTTCCCACATATTGACTGCACGACAGCCAAAATTACCTACTGGCTGCCCTATTCACTAGCTGGACGAAAGAGTACTAAGTTATAGAGAGCCACATTCGACAGCCTGGACTCCTTCCCTCTGCATGTGACTGCGATTACTACTAAAGGAGAAAACTATAAGACAAAATCCTCAAATCCTTAGACGACATTAGCTGGGGCAAGATATAGAAAAGTTAGGATGTAACTAACAAGACAGTTGGCCGGACGATCGTTAATTAGGCTCCGATCTGTTTCTAAAATTTTTGGTTGTTGATCGTAGCAGGACTCGAACCTTGAATTTCGCAGTCACCACTTACAAATCGAAAAATCTATGTTCCCAGTTGAGGCACATAACATTCCTATCCCCTTTGTCCGAACCCGTCGAAATAGACCGTTTCTTGGACCTCTCGTTAGTTAAGGTTTGATAGTCGCTACAACAAAAACTTTTACATCCTTTGAGTGGGCACTAAGAGTTGTGGGGGGGGGGGGGATACTAAACTTCTCCACTATCCTTAGTCGTCACAACCTTCATTTAATTAGAGATCCTTTTTTTTATTTTTTTAGTATCTCTATGAACTGCTCGATGCCCTTATAACTGCACAAACTTCCTCAGAGTTGGCAGAGAAGAAACTTGGTGTCCTGGCCTCGAGCTTAGCTGGCAAACTGCGCAGTCTGGCCGCCAAAGTACAAGAGATGCGTGGCACCACTGATCAAATGGCTTTGCGTAATGCTCTCCAGGATTACGAGAATGCTTTAGAACTGTAAGACGCCTCAACTTAAAAACCGTCTTTAGCACTGAAAGGTATACTTATATTTCAGCTACATGCCCGTTGTCCTGGCACGCGCTTGGATTTACTGGCGTGATGATGACTTTGTCGGTGCGGAACGTGAGTTCCGTGCAAGTGCGGAATTCTGTTCGGAGAACTCAGTTTGGCGTCTCAATGCCGGGCACGTGCTCTTCATGCAAGGCGACAAGTATAAAGAGTCAGCAGCATTCTATGAGCCCATCGTTCGGCAACACAATGATGATGTGAGTAGGCTTATTATCATTATATTTTACCATATTATTCTCATTCGCGTGTTATCATTTACGACCTCGCAGATCATGTCCGTGCCGGCGGCAGTTTTGGCTAACCTTTGCGTCTCATACATTATGACCTTTCAAAATGAGGAAGCTGAAGAGTTAATGCGTAAAGTGGAAAAAGCTGAAGAGCTCAAAGGCAATATGGGCAAGCAGTATCATCATTTGTGCATTGTAAATCTGGTTGTCGGCACCCTCTATTGTGCTAAATCCAATTATGAATTCGGTTTGTCGCGCATTGCACACGCATTGGATGGTGGAAATGGTGCGAGGCTCTATGCAGATACTTGGCTACATGTGAAGCGCTGTGTGTTGGGCTTACTCACAGGCATGGCGAAGCAGAACATCATCCTGCCGTATCCGGCTGTGCAGGAAGTGCTGAATTTCTTGAAATCTTGTGAAGGTAAGGAAAGCTTTACTACTTCTACATACATATATGCATATACATATGTACTTACAAGGTTGCATACTTAGATGCTGATGGGAAATAGAAGTAGTAAAGACATTAAAGTTTTTTTTCGGCCGAGTCCTGATCGAATTTATGGTGTGCATCCTAATGGTTTTCCAACAAGTGACCTCCAAGTTTACTCTACCCTGCTTCCGCACGACTTTTATTTCCTGTCAGATATGCATTAGAGTGCTTGCCATGCCCAGCCGATGGGAGACCACAGTTAGAAAAATAAATTTTATATAATTTTGTATGTTGATCGGACCAGGAGACGAACCCTGGACATTGGAGTGCAAGTACGTAAGACTACACGGCTACTACTGCCACATAGTAATGTATAAAGTTCATTATATGCAATGCAATGATAGACTAGGTTAATGTGCCTGACCCAGTTGCGCGTCAGGATTGGTCAATTAGACTGAGTAGAGAATTGAAAACAAACTCTACAAGTCCCTCATCGTTCCCGTCCTGCTCTTTGGCGTAGAAGCGGGGACGATGTCAACATCTGGTGAGTCGGCTCTAAGAGTCTTCGAGAGAAAAGTTTTGCAAACGATTTATTGTCCGTTACGCATTGGCTATGGCGAATACCGCCATTGATATAGTTCAGAAACAGGGAATGGGCTGGCTAGGTCATTTGATACGGATAGATAAAAATTCTCTAGCTTTGAAAGTTTGTAGATAAAGAGAAAATACCAGGTAGAGAGAGACTTCGCTCTACTTGGTAAAGGAATGAATGACGGGATGTTATAAATTTGACTAAAATCGCGTAAGCGGTGTCTACGCCAGTAAAGTAAGTAAGTAAGTGAAGCCAAGTCTTTCTCTTTCTCTGCTTCCATCGACGGGCACTACAACTTTCAAAACTGTATTACTCTCATTCAACCGCACATCTTGACCTAGTCGGCAAGATAAAATAGAAGAGTTAGTTGAGGCCAAAGTATCTCTATTCGTTAATCTATCCTACCATCGCCGTTTATCTCGTAAAACCCATCGTTCCATCGTCTATAGTATTCACCACTGCCAATAAGCAAAAGGACCATAAGTTTTCCAAACAAATTTTCTCTCTAAAACAAGCAGGGTCAACTCATCAGTTGTTGTCATTCTCTGCGCCTCCGCACCACAGAATGTGAATGATGGGGGATATACGCCGATTCTCCGATCAAATTTTGCATAGACGCTTATGCATGCAGCTTGCCAATTCTTCGCTGCCATGCTTGAATAGCTCAGGCCGTAAACCACCCAGCCTGAAAAAGAATTACTACTCGAAGTTCTTCGTAGGCGGTCTATGAAAGATCTGTTCCAACGTCATCAATAGGGGATTCGGATTCACTTTCATTGCTATTTAGGAGGCTGGAGAATTGCTCACTCCACAAACTCAATATAATTTGAATGCCAGTAACCAGTCACCTTTCTATCGTTACTACAGGGAAAAGTATCTGATGTTGAAAGTTGTTTATTTGTTCGTAAAATATTTAAGAAAATATTAAGAACCTTTGACCTTCTCAGCAAGTTCTTCATATTCATGCATTCCAGCCCCTCTCTTTTTATGTTCACAAATACTTTTCGTTTCCCTCTACAACTCTCGGTGATTCTCCAACACACACTCTTGATATCTAACCTTCCTCGTGTTTGTTGACGGACGTTCTTTGCTTTCTCTGTGGCGGAAGCTTATCTTGGCAGCGTCAAATTAGAGTCCATATTTGAAACACCGAACGATTTGGTTACAGCCGTATAGATTGGTGGATTCTTTAATGCAGAAATCTGGTACCACTTTAAACCCTATTTCAGATTATTCATAAAAAATACAAATTATTGTTATGATGACGACATTTGTCTTCTTCGACAAGATTTAAAGTACTCGTAATTATGGTAGAATTAAATTTTTGAGCAATTATTCAAGAAAAAACTTAAATTTACGTGTTTAAGTCTTCATTTCTTTTTTTTAATATAAAAAATTATTAAACCACACCCAATTTAATATAAAATATTTTCTTTCAGTTTATGGTCTTTTCACACCTGCAAACATTTACACCGCCACAGATGAAGTGCCCGCCGAACCATTGACCATTGGTTTGGAGGCAAGAAAGCTGCGTCTCCTATTGATTAAGCTGAGTGAATATGAACAGTGAATGAGTATACAAACGAAAAATTATATTTTTTTATCGACTTCTACAAGAACGTTCGTTACGTTTATTGATTTTTGTATATATGTGTATGTATGTTTGTTTCCATATAATATGTATATGTATATGTATTGTATATTATGATTATTATTATAAAATATATAAACTTAAAAGATCGTTAAAAAGAGTTCACATTCGTATGTCATGTTAGTGTAAACGAATTATAAATTTTTATATTTATTTGCAGTATTTCTCTTTACTTAAGAGTGATTTAACTCGCTTAAAATGACTTCAGCAAATATTATTTTATGTTTACTCTTCATTCGAATTAATATTAATGGGTGAGCATTTTCTACAAAAAAAAATTATAATTATTATATTTATGATTTATTTAATGGAAATTCACTAGAAATGGTGAATTCTCTTATGTAAGAGCTGTTTGTTATTATATTTGCATTTTTTTTTTTTTTGCATTTAAATCGATTTATCCAATCACTGCAGAAGAGGCCATTTCACTGACACCACATGTATTGTCGCCACGGTAGACACGATAGTAGCCTTGTTCACCCCACTTGGGTCCCCATGAATTCTTCACAATCCAGTAGGGAAGTGTCTTTTTGAACATCGGGTAGTCGGAAACACCATAGCCGACAATTAAAACACCATGATCGAGATTCTTCTTAGAGCACAATGCCTTCCAGGGATGAGAGACACCGCCACGGTAGAATTGCATAGCGTTAGCATTGATACCTGAAAGAAAAGACAAGGATACATGCTGCAAATACGATTTGAGAGGTTTTTATTTAAAAAAAAATATATAATATAATTTGAATGCGGATATTCTCTTAGTCGAGAGCCGAGAATAATAAATACGAGTAGCTCCGCAATTTTATATAAAGATCAAAATATGTATATATGTATGTATATACGGTGACTTTTTTTCGGCTGAACATATTCCGCATCCGAGTGTCAATAGGTAATCCAATTGACTTTGTCATTGCTTGGCTTATTGGTTACTGCCGTCTGTTGATCAGAAGCATTGGGCGTGTAACTGAATGTTTTCCGAAACCGCTTTCAATTGCGAAATAAGAAATATATTAAAATCCTGATAATTAGTATTAGTAGAAGTCATTGTTGTTATTGTTGTCGCTTGTTCAACCACGCCTAAGAGCAGGCAAAGTTTTTCCATGTCGTCATCTAATGGGAGCTGGAGGAAATGAGCTGTTTCGACGGGTTCGGATTAGAGGGAGAGACTAACAATTCTCATGAGGAGACTCATTCCATGCCGGCACATACGTTAAAGAGTCGGGGTCAAGACTGAATAAGCGGATTTGAGTCTACTACAATATCCAGTCCTTAATTGTGCCTGTATCATTTCGGTAGCCCGTGACAACTCAATCCCATCGTCTGCTAGGGGTGGCGGTTGATTTCGGAGCATATCTTTTAAGTGAAGATATTTTTTAAAGGTGGCATTTAGGGCTTGTTGATATGTCGGCCTGTCTAGAGGTCCCCTTAAGTTGAGTACTTTCTTCTTGATGTAACTCCGCTTATGGGCAGGCTATTCAGTCAATGTCACCGAGGTCATCTATCGAGAGGTCCAGAAAACGAGCTGTTTCGATGGAATCGGACAGAGAGAGAGAGGGAGGTTGGATGCCTCGGTTCAGGGGGCATTGAATAAAGAGGTTAATGTCGTGTGGAGACTCTCCACATTTAAAAAAGAGGTTAATGTCGTGTGGAGACTCTCCACATTTAAAAAAGAGGTTAATGTCGTGTGGAGACTCTCCATATGAAGGGCATACGTTGGGTATGTTGCGGTCGAGTTAGGATAAGTAGGAGTTTAACTTGCTACAGTATCCGGACCTAAAATGCGCCAGTAACACGCTATGTGGGATGCTATAACTCCGGGTACGCCATTCACGGGAAGGGAGTCTTTGAAGGTGTTGACTGACTCCTGACGCCATTCACCGTTAGGTACTTGTCTTTACGCCGTCCTGTCCAGCGGTTGTTGAACGTGTTGCTGGATGGTGTTCTTCTGTTGTTTGGAGGTTCAGCTTCAATAATATGCCTATTTGGGTGTTCCCTACGGTAGCATCACAATTGAAACTGCTTGCACAGCAAAGCATTATGCTACTCAACTCGTAACATAGATGCTTCACTGTGCAAGAGATGCCCCGGTGACATCAGAAAGTTTCCTGTCGCGGTCCTGAGGTCAGTTTTCTAGCAAGCCCGTTGCTTTGACATCAGTGTCTCGTTCATCCCCGGAGCCCAGATCGGTGCATGCAGTTTACGACCGGCCGGCCGGCCAATTGCTTTGTAGGTTGCCAGCAAGGTTTTTATCTGTACCCCAGGTGCTGCCGGCTAGCGCTTTGAATATTTTGTTACGGCTCTGGAGTTTGCGACAATTGCGTTCGTATGCGGAGTGAAGGATTGCAGGCTGACAAATGTGACTCCCAATATCATTGGGTTATTTATGGTAGGACCTTCATCTAGTTCGAGCCTATACTCCTTCGTCCAGCTGGTGAAGAGGGTAGCCGACGATTTGGTCGGTTGGATCGGCGGGATAGCTGTTCACTTTAGTAGTTGTGATTTTTGTTTTTGTAGCGGCCACTTTAGTTTCTCACTAGTGCCGGTGTACCGATCAGTACAGCATATTTAATGACCGACTGGCCGGCCGATTTAATTATAAGTTGTGAGCAACTTTTCTATATATACACCTCAGATGCGGCCGCTAGTGGCTTAAGAATTTTATTGCGGCTCTGTAGGTCGGTTGCAATCGAAGTTGCATGTGGAGTGAAAGAATGCAGGATGTCGAATTTAAAATCCAGAAACTTGGGGTTTTTCATTGTAGAAATTTCGATGTCATCGACTTTTAATTACAGGTCCAGCATTGTATGTTTCGTCCAGATGTCCACAGGTAATTAATAGGTTACCCCTTCAGGCACACATATGATAGCGAAGTCTCAGTGGCAGCATAACGAAATACCCGCACAGTTTCGTCTCTACTATTTTTATTTTTTACTTTTAAAATACTTTATTAACGGAAACTCACCAATTGAAACCGGTCCATTGGTAATCAGCCATTGTGCAATAGCTGTCTCATTCTTGGGCAAATCAACGCCTCCGGTGACTTTGACATGCACCTTCGATTTATTAAATTGACACTGGTCTTTGTGTCCCTCATAGGGGTAGTCTGACTCCAATTCCAAGCCACCAATATTTTGTAAAGCTCTGTAATTGAAAGGAGTATATGTATATTAGCAAATTAGAAAAAAAAATATATACAGTAATGCGTGCACTCACTCGTAAGCATTGTCCATCAAACCGCCATTGCAGGCCGAATCCTTTGTGTCGCAATCAAGCAACTCTTGCTCAGAATATTCCTCTAATTTGCCCGTCTTCACTGCATGCAAACCCTCCACATTGCCCGTCACGCTGAATGCCCAACAGGAGCCGCACGTACCCTGGTTCTTTACCTTCGAAATCACACCCTTCTCTCGCCAGTCAAATTCCTTTGGCAATTCCACATTGGGAATCACAGCAGGCATGTTCTTACTTGGCTTATCCTCTGAGCGCTGCCACAAGCCAGTGCGTTGCCTGTATTCATCGGTAGTTAAGTCTGCGAATTCTGTAATGCCGTACTTGGCACTGCCTGTGAAAATATAGAAAAGGAATAAAGGAAGAATAGAAAAAAAGAAAACAAATAAATTATACTTATAGTGTAGAGGAAATGAAATATTTGATAGCGCACGTTCGATGCAAAGGAAGTTGGAATTTTCGCATAGATACTAAACACACACATATACATCAGAGTATATGTAATGCAGGCGTTTTTTTTTACGTACGGCGAGATATGTATGTCTGTACGTGCACTTACTCACCCATTTCATTGCGATTCAATTCTTGTATGATTTCTAAATTTTGTTTAAAGATTCTCAAACGCATTTGATGCTCCAGAGCGGTGTGATAGCGGCGATTATATTTAATTTGGAATTTACTAAATAAATGTTCGCTTTTGTCTAGACTGTGATGATTGTGTTTCTTATGCGTCTTCTTTTCCAAGTGTTCCACCGAGCGACTATGACGGCGTTTTACCAATTCTTTGTTGGGACATTTGAAGGTCACCTCAATGCCATTGGGCAGCCATGTGCGTGACCAGATCTTTACAATACAGCGTTCCTTCTCATTATGCTCATTGACAAGTTCCGCATCTATTTTGGTCAATGTGCCCGAGACAACTTGCGTAGTGGCTGAGTAAATTTCCGAAATTCTGCAACAAATTATTTAGAAAATTTGTTAAAATTGGTTTCAATTATGTTTAAAGCGTAGTATTTTACCTATAATTCGGACCATCCCCAGCAGCAAGTTTATCAAGGGAAGCTTGTAGACGTTCTTCGGCATCCTTGTCGTCCAACTTGCGAGCGCCACCAACGAAATCATTACTGCGCTTGGCACGAGCATGAATCTAAAATGAATGCAAGAAGTATTATTTAGTGAAGAGAAATAGATGTATATATATGTATACACGTATACAAGGAGAAAATAAAAATACTACACAATTTTTTATTTATTTGTCCGAATTAAATTGCTCTCTGGACTGCGGCTGATTTGCGCTTTGACATTGTCATTGGTCACCGAGAAATGTTGGTAAGAATTAGCCAGTAAGGAAATGTCAAAAAAGCGCTCTATAGGCTCGAATTTGACTGGTATTTTGTCTGTTGTTATTGTTATAGCTGCAAAAATATTCCCCAAAGTTGTTTTTGGGGAATGTTGCGGGAGTGAGAGTCCTTGTTTGGTCGTTTCGGTGTAAAGACTCTATTGTCGCGTGAACTTTTGGACTTTTCGGTCCTCTCTTAGGACAGGCTTGCTTTACCGCGGGAAAATTTTTGAACTACTACCCCTCATTTCGCCTCCCCCAACGCGGCTCATTAAAATTTAGTAACAACTGTTATTGTCAAAAAGGTCACCGAATAGAACTATCTTCAATGACACGCTAGATGACCTCGGCGACTTCGATTGATCAAACCTGTCCCTAAGCGGGGATAACGAACCACTACAACAACAATAACATCTTCAATGACATTCCCAACGTGTCATTCAATACCCGTTTTCCCGGCATTTTGTGGATCAATGTAGTGCAGTGAGCTCGTCAAACCGGAGAAAACAACTCACGTGTGTGCCTGTGCAGTGCGCTCAAAGAAAAATATATCTGCTACAGCTCAAGGTGTGCTCGAAGAGCGATTACGGGGGAATCAAACATTTCGTGCACTCACTATGAAGACAGAAGAAACTCAAGCCTCAATATCATTTGAAACGACTTCGTTTCGCGCATTAGCACGCTTGGCAAAAAGTTAACGTTTTTACCGTAAAATCATCCTTTCCTAAGAAGCTCATTTCCACCACGGCAGCTCTTCACTTGGGACTCGGAAAGCTTACATGCAGCTATGGAAGGACATCTTCAACGAGTGAGGAGGAAGGAGCTTCCTTTTCCGTGCCATATTCCCAGTTTATTTTTGCTTTCAAATGTTGAAGACAATAACCTAAACAGAACGGTGCTAAGTGCCATACAGCCATGATTACAGTCGATATTTTGCGCAACTGACCGTCTCGCAGCCGCTAGTTGACACTGTCGGACTATTTTTTGCGCGTAGCCGTTTAGGACAGAGCAACATCAACTATGCAAAGACTATTCAGTGCTAGAAACAAGAATTTCAGATTGCCATTGCAGCCATAGAGGTCGATTAAATCAGAAATGTGTGGAAAAATTGGTTCAACAGGCAGAACAGTATGGGCTGCTGCAAAGCCAGACACGCTGACACGGTGACACGGTGAAGCCATTTCAAGGAAGGCAAAATCCTTCAAAAATGTTTACTCGACTTTTATTTTTAAACAAATTTAAAATGCAAATTTTTCGTGTCACCCGTTGGTAATAAAGCTTGTTTAGGAATTTCCAAGAATTTCTAATTTTATACAATTTATTTTAAAAAATAATAATTTTACTTAACAATTCCATTTTATTTACTTTTATTTCATCGCATTCATGACACACAGATTTTGTTTACAAATTCATTCATTTTCGAGCAGATTCGAGTTTTTTTGCACTTCTATTTTTGCTTCCATAAAAAAAAAAGTTGTTGTTGGCCAAATGCGGCAGTCATATCTAAGAATAATTGCGGACAGTCAGATAATACGTCATTTATTTTTGCAAATATTTACTGATTTAAAACTGGCATAAGCCCTAATATGTACATTTGTATGTATATACATATGTATGTGTACACATTACGCTGCAGAAAAAATTCAAGTAAATAACTAGAATGCTACTAGTTCGCAATTTTGCTCCAAGTATTGCATCAGCGATTAGAATTTTTAGTAAAGCAATGCGCTATGAAATGTCATTTATTTGACATCAGATTCATACTAGTTGAATACTAGTTCATTTATGCATATTGAATTTTAACTTTGCAGATATAGAAATGAAAACAATTTTGTCTATAGCGAGAGTTTAACAGTGAATTTCAGACGTTATTGTGACCTACAATCGTAACTTGAAGTTAGCGCGGTCTGCAACCTTCGACCTCAAATTGAAGAACACGCCATCGACAATATGTGGTTTCCACAAGATGGTGCCACATGCCATGAAACACGAGCGAAAATGTCTTTATTTGCGAGAGAAATTTCCCGGTCGCGTAATCTCTCGTCTTGGCGATGTCAACTGGCCGCTGAGATCGAGCGATTCAATACCGTGAGAGCTGCGGACAAATCGTGACCTCTTAAGCACAAAGATTCGTTAAGTCATGGCCGAGTATCACCCAATATGAGCCAAATAGTTGTCAAAATTTACCTCAAAGGGATCAATCAAAGTTTGCAAAAATTGGAGATTTGATTGATGAAGTGTTTCAAACTTTTGTAATAAAAAAGAGATTTCGCTAAAAAAAAAAAATTATTTTAAATACATTTTATTTCTGTTTATTTTCGAAACAACAAAATGCACCACCATGTATTATATAATTGGCGATTTATAGCCGCTGAAGCGATTTTTGGCCGAGCTCCTTCTCTTAAAAGAGCAAGGGACCTAGAGTTCATACTAAACCACCTCGGAAGGTGCTATTGGATTTTTATGAGGAGTCATTTATTTAATTTCAATTGTCGGCTGAAAATTATTTCTTATCGGACTTGTGCCACAGCTTCTTCCAATACCCGAAACACTACTCAAACACGTATCACTTAGATAGTCTATATTTTCCTCCGCGAATCGCCTTTAATATCACCTACGGCGGTTAAACGAGGTGCCTTTATTGGTGGATGTTTGGCGAATGCAAGTCATAACAGTATATGAGCTGGAGCATCGTTGTGACATAGTTTTTGGCTAAAAATTCACGAACAAGCGGCGTGAGCAGGTGCATTATCCTAATACAAAACTAACGAGCTTTTTTTCCACAAATCCGGGAGATTTGTTTTGGGATTTTTTCATGCGATGATTGAGCCTTGGTTTCGACGTTTTCTACATCGGCGTCCGCAATAGCCGCGCCCACTGCCATTTGGAAGGCCAAGGTTCGACAAATGGTTCTTATAAGGTATTCTTAATACGCTTCTGTTTAACCCATAAAGAAAGCTTTCGGTATTCACTTCTCTGTACTAGAACAAGTAAGGTCGTGCCATTCGTTTCTGGGTACTTCGATAAGACAAGACATTCTCGATACGCATCTCAACAGTTTACTTACAAATCATTACCTCCAATGATACGCCTTTGTTAAAATAATGGCTTAAAGAAACGAGCGTGCAAACGCTTACGTGTAGCTACATAAATGTTTGCAAAATGAAAAGCACGGCAGGTTAAGTGCTCGTAATGTCGGTTTGTTCATGTTGGTGGCAACAAAGACATTTGCAAACTACATGGCATCAAAATTAAATCGCCAGTCCAGGTGAGGTGATACCATGTGACCACATACTTATAAACATAAATATACATAATGATGAACCCACCCTGCAGGAAAACGAATTAACTCGAAATTAAATGCTATAACTTTCGCTACTAGTATTTTACTAGTTAATTTATGAATGTTGATTTACAGCTTCGCAGAAATAATAACAAAGAATGCTTGCAGCCTCGATTTGAATACCAAATCCGAATGCTCGACAACGAAAAGTTCTAAACACACAGTAAGCATTACTCCATAAAGCTTGACGATAAAAACTTTTTTCTAAGCAATAAAAATACAACACACTATTGGTGTGATGAGTGCAATTGTTATTATTATTGACAGCTGCAATATCCGAGTGGTTAGCATAAAGAACTGCCATTTTGAACGCCAGGATTCCAGACCTGGTTCGGCCAGCAACCAAAATTATAGAAAATTAATTTTTCTACTTGTAGTCGCCACTTGACATTCATGAAATGTCAATCCCTCCGAGTGTAGTCCCTTCGGAATCGGCTGTATCTCTCTCCATGTATTGGAAAAATATTAATACTAAAACCACAAAATGGACGAGCAGTTCGGCCGAAAAAGCGGTTACCAAGCGCCATTTATATATATATAATGATGAGGACGTTTTACAGTAATAAACCACATGGACACATTTTAGTCCTTCTGCAATCCCTTTTTATCTTCATGTAGCATTATGTGGTCTTTCATATCATAACTCCCTCCCCACCCGGTAGAACGTGGTTTTGTTTCACACTTCTTTTTGTTTTCTGTTAAAAATTTACTAAAATAAATTTCATTTTTAATGAATAATATATTTATATAATAAGTAACTTAGTGGTATCTTTGCCCTGACCTCCTGCCCCGGTTATGTGGCTGTAGCATAAAATTTGAACTAATCCATTCCACTCCTGGTGAAGTTACGTGGCTTATAGAGGCTCCCTTAACACTTCAATTCTATTCGTGTTCAGTTGAGCGATTTGCTGCAGGGTACTTAAGCAGTATATGTAACAAATACAGTGGTTCAAAGATATATTTCTTCTTCACTGAATTTTATAGCATTATTATAGCAACTCCTATTTCTAATTCTACTAATCTACTTTTAGATGAAAGTCATTTTTTGAAATTACTTCAATTACAATAAGAACTTGTGCATAAATAGCAATATATTATCCGCCTAGTCAGGTACCGTCTTATCTTCGATTTTATCGAGAAAAGTTTCCATTGATCCAAAAATTAGTTCCGAAAGTTCTTAACCTAGCACAGCCAAGTCCAGGGTAAACCCATAGAAAATTAGTAATTATTTGCTCCAAAGCAAGCAATCGAAATAGATACCGTTCTATCGGGTGAGTCCTCTAAAAATTCATTCAGATTGGATATGTTCTCTCTCTCTCTGAGGTTGATACACGTTTCATATTATCTTTTCGTACCTTATTTTGGTCAGTTTTCGTTGGATTTCTCGCAAACCATTTTGTGATCTCAGCTTAACAGAAAATTTCTTAAAAAACAGTTTAAACGTAGAAGGCATACTAGAGCAAAAAAGCTTTATATATTGAAGCTTTCACGCCAAGTTATGAAGAATTAGGCATTGGTTTCGAGATTTCACTTCTCTCATAAGGCAACTAGAAAACTATGTACCTCCTGCTTTCCGTATTCAAGAACGTTTCTCTGTACAGATGTAGTAATCAGTTGACTATACTTTCATTGACCCGAAGACCCTTACACTAAAAGGCTTAGTAGACTTTATCGGTGTCTAATTGAAATTTTAATACAAACCATTTTTTTTGCTGTCTTCGTCCATGCCCAAGTTTTTCTTTGTACCTCTCATGAACGTATTAAATTTATGATCCAAAGCTTTATATCTGAACCAATTGGTTGTAAGAGGGATAAAATTTATAGCCTGCCGATTTCGATCGATATTTATTTGAGTTTATCGAATTTCACGGTGCTGGCTGCTTTTTTCAAATCCACATATGTATCTGAACAAATCGATTGCACGTGAGCTATCATATATGTGATAATAGTGATCTGATCCGACCGATTCTGACAAAAGATTATTTTGGTCTAAAAGTATATTCGCGTTTCCAACACTGAGAGACTAGTCTGCCAGACTAGATGGACATTGTGAAATCAACTCAACGGACCTGATTCGATCGGTATAAATTTTAGTGGGTCTGCCTCTTTTCCTTTGGTCACTTACAGAAAGTACTGCGAGCCAACGTTAATATGCCATTACATGTTGATGAAAGGTATAAAAAGTTTTAAAATTTAAAACGACGAATTTCACGCGCTACCTGTCATTAACAGCAGAACATAAAATATACATACTCATACATACCATATACATACATACATATTAAATGTCGAGAATTGGAGGGCCTGACGTATACGTCAGAGTAATTAAGTTTATGTGAAAATCAAAAGAGGAGACGAGAGAGACCCGCTGAGTGTCGTGGTAATGTGTTGTGGGCTGATTTTGTGGCACAAACCATTGCGCTAACCGAACGTAGGGCAAGAGGAAAGCAGAGAGTGCAAATGTGATTACATTAAATGAAGCAAAGACTCACATAAATGTAACAATGTATGTTTTTCAACAAGGACATAAACATTAAAAATCAACAAAAATACAACAAAGTACATACATAAATGATGAAGTGTGAAAATAAATGCAAAAATGGATGCTAAAAACCGTACTCAAAACAAAAAATATGATACGGTTTATAGGGGGGAAAACATATAATATTATAAATTGAAAATATGAAATTCTGGCAGTGTTGCCAAAAACTATTAACACCCAACACTAAAACCAAGAAAAAAAAACAAAAATAAATATTTTTATACTAAAATGAAAACATTAAACAAATATACAACACATATTAAGGCGACATATAGCGATCAATGAGAAAGGGATGTATGAAAAATTATGGAGTATTCAATATCTCGGTTGAAATTCGTTTCGCGGTTACTAAGCGCCGATTTAATAATGCATATAAACATATACTGAATACCCAACAAACGTAGAAAATATATATATTCTTTAAATTTTTTATATGAAATTAATTTGGGATTTTCGTTGAGAGTCGGCTCTTCCTTAAGTCATGGATGATCATAGTATATGAAAGAAGGATATTTTAAGGCATGCCGTTTTCAAGAAAAAAAAAATAAATAAATATTTAGCTTTATTAGAAAGGGCTGCAAATATGTTTTAAAAATGATTTCGGGCAAGTGGCCGCGTTGATGGCTAGCTTGAATAAATATCTGTCGAAAGGACAAATTTTCAACCACTTTTTGCAGCACTTGAGGTGGTTTGTCAGTATTAACCCGCCGAATATTTTCTTCTAGGGTGTCAATCCTCTCGGGCTTATCTGCCTAGACAAGATACTTCATTTAACCTCACAAAAAATAGTTCAGCGGTGTAAAATCGCACGATCGTGGAGATCACGCCACAGGTGTACGACACAAAATAATGCGCCCGCCAGGGATTTACTTTAATAAATTGATTGTTACGTTGGTTTTATGGCATGTAGCGCCGTCTTGTTACAACCAAATTTCGTCCATATCAAAATCCACCAATTCAGATACGAAAAAGTTATTACTCATGGCTCTATAGCTTTCCCCATTGACTGTACCATTATAAGCGGCTTCGAAGGATCCAACCAAAAGTGAGCTTCACTCTGAACAAAATTTTCTTGTGAAAATCGGGATCGTTGGCCATTTCGTTTTGGGTACATTCACCGAACGAACGGCGCTCTTGTCGGTCGTTTGGCTTCAATTCTTGAACGAATTTGATCTTGTAATCTCATAAAACCCAGTTCTTTTCGCAAAACCTTCCATAAAGCGGATGGCCACAGCACCGATTGCTGCGCGTGCTCGCGTTTGGACTCAGTCGGGTATTCTCTGATACTCTGCTCCACAGTAGTATATCTCTGAGGATGCTTATTATCTACTAGAGTAAACGTGGTGCAAAACCGATCCATAGTTGCTCGTTGCTGAGCGAATATATTGATCGAACATTGTACGTAGCGCGCAAATCAAACCATTAGTCTGGTCATAAATTTACACGAGTTGCTATCGGACTAAGACTGTTAATTATGTAATGGCAAACCGAACTGAGTATAAATCAAGTACCGGTTTTCCAGAAGACATACACATAAATTAAGTATTTGCGCTGCGAATAAATTCTAGTGATCTTTCTAAATGTATCTAAATACTGTTCTGAAGGTTGTGTTTTTTAAGTTGCAAAATTATTGGGTTTCGGTTGTCGATAAAATTCAAATTTAAAGAAAATAAATTTTAAAATTAATTTGTGTAATTGCGTTCGCACCTCGACAGGTAATACCAACCTCTCCGAGTGTATTTCTGGCAGGAAAAATAAGTTTCTTATAAAAACTCATAAAACGTGCGGAGTCGACTTAGAATACTATTGCATGTCCGTTAAACACCACAAATTGGAGGAGAGCTTGGTCGAAAATTGCTTTAACGGTTATACATATATTCCTGATAGAAATTTAGAAAAATACTCTTAGTTTACGTTTTCATAGGATAATATTACAGTACATAACCTCAATGCCTATTGGTTTGTCTAAACTAAGAAAAAGGTGCACAAGCACGTTTAAATGGATGTGAGGGCGGTTGTGGGTTCCTGCACTGACAAGTCGAATTTTAATTAATGCGATTTCAATGATGTTTCAGCATCACTGACACCGACGCCGCCGCCGCCACCACGTCAGCGAGCGTGTCGTGAATGCCTTGCTATTTCGTGGGTGCGCGCTATTTACCTGGTCTGAAGTAGAGATGTCAGCTGCCGCCGAGTCCCCCTCCGTACTACGCTGCGCCTCAGCCTGTTGCAACAGCTGCTGCTGTACATAATTGCTCGCCGCAATTTCAATAGCGGCATCATTACTATTATCATCAGCCACTGACGCCGTCACCGCCGCCGCCTGTTTCTCGGCTTCCTGTTTTTCACGTTGCGTATTCTCAAAGCTAAGTGCACCCACCGATAGAAAATCATCCAACCACTTCATTTCATCTTGTGTGAGCACTGGCAAGGCTGATGTGGACTCTGCGCTATCTTCATCATTTACCACAACTGCTGCTGTCGTTTCCTCATTTTGCTCAGTCACTTCAGCACTTAATTGCTCTGTCGTTGTGGCAGCCGTAGTTCTTGGCGTAGCCGTTGTTGTTGTGAAAGTGGTAGTAGTGGTGGTGGCGCTTGACACAGTGCTTTCACGTCTTTTCAGCGAATTCGTCGAAAACGGCATTGATAGTATTTGTGATTCCAGCTTAGACATCTCGTCATCGGTCAGTTCATTTCGTGTGCCACCATTAAAGATAGCATTTCTCGTGTACTTATCATTTAGCGCCTTACTACGCGCCGCCGGTTCCGTAAGATTGTCCTCTTCGCTGGTGCAATTGGAGGTGCGCAATTCACGTACTTTATCACCCCATTCGGTGCGCAGCCAAGGCTTTTCAATTATCACCATGCGACACACCACATCTGCGTCCTTTGATTTTGTGTCGACAGCATTTAAAAGTATCTCATAACGCACTCCATCGACGATTTCCCGAAACGCATCGATAATATTGACGAAATTCATGGAGAGCGGCAGAAATGTCATAGCGATATTTTGCACGCCAATCAGATTGGGTGAGAGGTACTCACGTTCGCCGGGATTGAGGACATGCACCAATTTCACAGGCTCCTCCGACGCCGGTTGCGGCTGTTCCAATTTCATGAGTTCAAGACAGCGTAAGAGTGCATTTGTGATTGCGTTGATTGATTGTTTCCAATTAGATTTGCGTATGCGCACCACATCGACGTACACCATACAGACATATAGAGATAAGGATGAGAGAAACATAAAGGTGGGATTTTGATTTAAGCACAATTTGTAGACAAGACAGACAACTGAATTTTGCAAGCGTTAAATGCGTATGTTTGCGCGTTTGTGTTGGTGTATGTATGTGTGGGTGGGTAAGTGGGTGAATGCAAACCAATTCAATGAATGAGTTTATGAATATTTATTCAATAATATTGCCCAATAACCATACCAAAAATCATTAATGTTATTAGCAAATAAAAATATTAGCCACACAGAGGTGAGTGGATGTCTGTATGTATGTGTATGAAAGCGTTCTCTCGAAGTGACCAATTGTTCACAATAGAGGCCAAGAATTATTTATTTGACCTTTAAAAATATATATGTACATGTGCAGAGTTCTCAGATTTTTTTTCACGATATTCAACAGCAATTTATAACTCATTCCAATAATCATAAGAAAAAAATATTCAAATAATGTATAAGTGTAATAATGAAATGTTGCCAGCACAATCCATACTGCTGCACTGATTATCGTAGGACAGACCTTCACAATATCGCGTACAAACTGATCAGAGCTTATCCATGTGGTCCCAGACCACCTGGGTAAATCCACCATAGACTAAATATCTATTCACCATGCAGCAAAATCTGGACAAAGATTCGTGAGAGAAGAAACGACACACACCGAAGAGATCGATTTTAAGTTGTCCAATGATAGCACCAAACATCTCTTTGCCTCAATTGGTATCCACACAAAACGCATACGGCTGTACAAACTGAAGCTGAACAACGGAAAAATCTTCGATCTAGAATTGGGAATAACCTCTTCGAGGTGTTCGATACCAACTGAAATTTCGTTAGACTTTTTTAAACTATTCTTTGTGAAAATAATACTAGCTACAGAGCTGACTAGAAATGGTGCAATATTCTATAAGAGTGTACAGCTGATGATATTGATATCCGATTGAGTTCTGATTTCTCTTGATCGGATAAGGAAGCGAAGCGTATGGGTCTGGTAGCGAAAGAGAGCAGGAGTAAATATCTCCCGTCATCAAATAAACAGTATGTACAACATTGAAAAGTAAAGTTCTCTCTCGACGAACAAAAACTGAAACCGAAAAATCGCTTATCATTCTCGTCTAACTCTTTAGTGCAGAAGGATGGGCTATGACGACGAGCATAAAGTCATTAATACAAAATTTGGGCCAAATACTTTAGTTGGTATAAAAAAAAAACTTAGCTGGAGAGAACATGTTCAAAACAGTGCGAGGAAAGCGCTACGAATTTGAAACATATGTAGAAGGATTATTACCCTGAATTGGCGGCAACGATAAATGGTATCGTAAGATTCAGTGACTGTGGAGAAGAAGTTAGCCTTTTGGAATATATGGAACGAACTTGTCAACTTTGTATAGCAGGTACGATGAGGATTATCTCAAAAAAAAGCCACTGAAGTTATTCTTCTTCTTCTTCTCGATAACAGACTAATTCACATACAAGTGGTGTATGAAGCAGATCAAACACAATTCGAGATTGTGAATATTACGGAAGGTAGCAATGGGGAAACCGCTTTTATATTAGGTTGTCAAATATCTCCCTTCTGCTTTTTTGTCTTTTGAATTTCGCGGCTATGTACAAAGCGCACAGCGCTACAGCTCATATCTGGCAAAACTATACATAATTTGAAAGGTCTTGACATAACCTACAAAGCAACGCTATGCATGATTAGTTTAAATATGGCGTTCAACAGTTATAGACATGTAAACATTGAGTTCACTAACGCCGAAATTCGCGCTATTTTAAAGTTTTCCTTCGTTAAAGACAAATCCGCTAAAGAAACGTTCCGTGAGATTAATGGTGTTTTGGGGGATGGTACTCTATCACTTCGAACCGCGAAGGAATGGTTTTGACAATTCAGAGCCGGTGAAAACGACACCATGGATAAGCCAGCCGGCGGAAGACCTGTGACGACAAATACCGATCAAATCATGGAATACATCGAGTTAGACCGGCATATGGCATCTCGGGACATCGCCCAGGAGATGGGAGTTAGTCACCAAACAATTTTGAACCATCTGCAGAAGGCTGGATACAAAAAAAGTTTGATGTTTGGGTGCCGCATAATTTGACGCAAAAAAACGTTCTGGACCGAATCAACGCCTGCGATATGCTGCTGAAACGGAATGAACTCGACCCATTCTTGAAGCGGATGGTGACGGGCGACGAAAAATGGATCACATACGAAAATATCAAGCGAAAACGGTCGTGGTCGAAAGACGGTGAATCGTCCCAAACAGTGGCCAAGCCGGGATTGACGGCCAGGAAGGTTTTGCTGTGTGTTTGATGGGATTGGAAGGGAATCATCCACTATGAGCTGCTCCCATATGGCCAGACGCTTAATTCTTCCATCTACTGCGAACAACTGGCCCGCTTCAAGCATTCGATCGACCAGAAGCGTCCAGAATTGGCCAACAGGAAGGGTGTAGTGTTTCACCAGGACAACGCCAGACCACACACTTCGTTGATAACTCGTCAGAAGCTTCGGGAGCTCGCATCGCATCCACCATATAGCCCGGACGTAGCGTCAAGTGATTACCACCTGTTCCTGTCCATGGCGAATGCCCTTGGTGGTGTGAAGTTGAACTCAAAAGAGGCTTGTGATAACTGGCTGTCCGAATTCTTCACAAATAAGGAGGGGGGCTTCTACGAGGAAGGTATTACGAGTTGCCGTCTAAATGGAAACAGATCATCGAACAAAACGGCGCATATTTTAACTAAATCCGATCACTGTAACACTTTTTAAAAAGCATTGAATGAAGAGCAAAAAAGCGGAAGGGAGATATTCGACAACCTTATATTAGGTTTCTTGTTGACAGCCCAGCGGCAGCTAGGGCGATTAAACTCTTCAACACAAGTCATACATGCAAAGAGGCATTTAACAGATTATAATGGTAGAACACAGTGAACAAAACTTGGGTCTGAAGTTATGCGGCTGTAAAGTAGATAACGAAAGGCGGTACTTTTACCGCCGCTGCAGCTGTCACTTGCCTAAGACCTGCCCAAAGCCTTTCAGCGCCTTAAAGCTATGACAAAAGAAGTGGTTTCTAGAGATCAATTTAAGATCATGTATCATTTTCCAACGTAGAACACATCACTAAAATCCTAAAGGGCAGCATGAATTGCAAACAGATCGAAATGTTATTATGATTATTGTATTCCCTAAGTACTGAGTTTTACGGTAATATTAAATTTTCGCTTTATTAAACAGTTTACTAATTCTTAATTAAAATAAAACGTAGCAGAGCGGAATAATGTACAATTATCGTAGTACGCTAACTATATAAATATAATATGATCAAAAATACTGGAAATTATGTTTTCAAATCCATACATAAATGTACATACAGGGTGTTATGAAAAAAATTAAATAAAAAAAAATTGATTAATCAACACCAAAAGCAGTATTTTTTAGTAAAGAAAAAAATTTTAAATATGCCAAATACGAATTTCAGATGAAACTACAGCATGTTCTACAGCGCATGAATCATAAGTTCGTATAAGAGAACATTTTGTAGAGAACTTGTCAGTGATATGTGTGATAAGTGCAAAGACAGATACTGAAGACAGGTTTATTAGCAGATCGCTAGTGACAACCCGAGATGAAATCGGTAAAATCGGTAAACTGCGTATACAATAGAGTTCTATAATTAAAATGTTTGGTATTTAGGCAAAGTATTAGCTTTTAGATAAAAATTTTTTATGCAACTCAACTGAAGCTTGCAAAGGGATAACAAACAGTAGAAGATTGTTTAATAAATCTGTTGCATACACTTTGAATTCATCGAAAATTGAAATAACAGTATTTGTGAATTTAATTCAAAATGATTAAATTGCATGTGGCTTCAGTGAGAAATTAAAATTCGAAATGAAAATAATTTGCTATTAGTTCATAGTGAAGCCTGGTTTGTTTATTTGAATTGAATATTCTTGTTATACAACAAAGAAAAAACAATAGTTTCCATTTAACTGTAAATGCAAGTAGTACACGCAAACTGTGTTTGTATGTGGTATTCAGCCAAAACCAAAATGGTCGGTTTATGGTTCGCGATTTCAACATAATTTTATGCTTAATTAATACAAGCAAATTAAATTTATGCTAAAAACCATTTAAATATCGCTTTAATTTTAAATGCTTAATTTTTTAAAAATATACGCTTAAATTCTTCCGTTAAAAAAACTTCAGTAACGCAGATTTAGAATCAGCTTGACTTTGGAGAGAGTTATTCCTGCCAAATAATACTTTTCTGGCCGCGACATGATCACTAAACTCCTCTATCAGTAAGCCAAAAACTCATTTATCCCATTTCACCAGATGCCAAATATCATAATAAGTCTGTGAAACAAATTTGATGGAACATCCTTGGTTCCAATCGATAATATTCTCCATATTTGAAAACCCCAGCAAAGTACGATGCGTTTTTATATTCGCGAAATGATAGAGTTGTTGGATCGTTAGGATCGCAACGTGTTCAGTGACTCACAATTGATATAAATCCGAAGTTTTATTGTCATTAGACAATTAGTTTTTGAGCTATCGTCAACCAAGCAAAGTGAAAAGGGAAATATGATCAAAAGTATAAATATTGTACCGTTATAAAGTTCCTTACCAAGCGAGGAAAATCAGTTGCGACCATAATGATTGAGATGTTATTGGTCTATGGCGACTCTTTGCCGGGATAACCCATTGTTTACAAGTGGCAGAGTTTATTTAAACAAGAAAGGAAATTCCTTGAGGACGACCAAAGACCGGGCAGGAGTATCGATGCTGGACTTAAGAAGAAATAACTCGCACAAATAATTAGAGTACCCGATACAACCACTTTTAGAATTCTGCACGA